AGGAAGCCAAAAAAGCAGTTTCCAAGAATGGATCAAGAATGGTGAGGCCTGGAAAGAAAACAGTTCAGAAATGGCATTTCTAAACCATGAGGGAAAGAATAGGAATAGACATAAATGGTATATAATACTTGGCCATTGGGAGCAAAGTAGTTAGATCCCAGACCATATGTAAAATATAAATGTAAAAATTCAAGATGAAAATATAGACAAATAATTTTGATAACTTAGGGTGGGAGAGTTTTTTCTATGTAAGATAAAAAACTAAAAGGAAAGTATCAATATTTGGATACATAAATATTAACTTCTTACAGCCTAAGATGCCACAAAGTTAAAAAAACAGGTGATGTATTAGGAGAAAATATAAACAAAACATGACAGAAATAGGTTAATATCCCTAAAGTAAGAAGAGTTTCTATTAACTAATCAGAGAGGAAAAGTAACATAATAAATGAGTAGACATACTTTGTTCCTTGAGGACAAAATATAACGTCTAATAAATGAAAATGGTTACTAATAAAAAAGCAGTAATTAAATGGCAGTGTTTGCCTGTTAGACTAGCAAAACTTAAAATTCACTTTAACATCCACTGCTGATGAGAAATAAACACATAGGTGAACATTGTCACTAGGAACTTCAGTTGATGTGCCCTTTTTGGAGAATTATTTGTCAGAATCTATTGAATTTTTAAATGTATGTACACTTCGATCTAGCAGTCTTTTGCCCGAGTATATCCTACAGAAATCATGGCATGAAAACAAAAGATTTATCTAAACGGGATTTATTCCATCATTATTAACAACAACAAAAAAGAATTGTCTGAATGTGTATCAATGAACAAATCGTTAAATAAATATGTGTATATTCCTACAATGAAATACTAGGTAGCCATGTTTTTAATGAGGTAAATCTGGCTGTTTTAACTTGGAAAGAATTCTATGACATGTTGCAAAGTGAGGAAGGAAGAGTAAGTTGTAGCCCAGTATAGCCTGACTCTGTTTATTGCTGTATAGTAACCACCTGTGTGTATGAGAATATTGTATAAATACGTGTCTCCATAAGCTTATGAAAAAGTTGCAAAGGATGTAAACAACCGGGTAGAGGTAGGGATGGAGGGACAAGGAGAAAGACAAGAACGTCCGCTGATGACCTTTGAAAGACCAGTGATGGGGACAGAGGAATCCAGGAGGTAGGAAGGGGGTGAGCTGTGGGCGTAGGCTACTAGGCTACTCTGGATATGTCAATCAGGAAGAAGGGAGATGGAGATTTCGAGAGATTCGAGGGGCAAACAGGGCAATACCAAAGGTTTTGTCATACAGGACAGCAGAAATTTCAGTCTGTTGGTATGTCAAGGAAAGGGAGAAAATGCAAAAACAAAAAGTTGCGCTGACTGGAAGAGAGCAGCAGTGGTGGAGGAGGTGAGGAATGGAGTCAAGGCTGGATGATCCTTCCTTCTCTGGGGTGGTGGAGGTTGAGTGAACTTGGCAGAAAGTTTTTCAAGAACTCCAAGCAGACAGCCTCTGAAGATAGGCAAGGCCAGGTAGAAAGAGGAGAGGATGCGCATGTTGGTGTTGGGAGTGGAAGAAAATGGAAAACTCTGGAATTGATTTGGGGGGGCATGGGAGAGATATAAAGAAGACATTTAGGAAAGACATAGGAAAAAAGACATAAGGAATCATTTTGGGGGGAAAGACGTAAGACCTAAGTTCAGAGCCCGGCTGAGTTCAACTGTTATTAGTTTATAATGAAGCGAGTTGCCATTTGCTGGGTGTCTGAAAGCCCAGAGGAGGAGGAGGAATCCAGTGGGTTAGGATCAGAATTAGAGAGGTTCAGGTATTAGTGGCTTCTAAAGGGATGTCCAAGGGTCCCAAGCTGGGCAAGAAAGCCCAAGGGATGCTGATAGCCAGGGACAATATAAGGGACTGAATGTCACAATAAGAGTCTTAAAAGTAAAGGCAGATACCCTACACATAAGGAAATGAAAGAGGTGGTGAAAGAATAAGTTGGAGTCACAAGGGGGACTAGTCAAAGTTCCTTATAGAAGAATTTCAAGCATTGAGGGCCAAGGCACAGTCAAGGTGATGGATGTGTGTAGCATTGTTGGTTTGTCTCAGTAGACCCTGAATCCCATTAGGGCAGGGATGAGGCATGTCTTGCTCATATTTATATCTCCAGGGCTGAGCGTGGTGTCTGGCCCATAATAGATGCACAGCAAACATTTGAATGAACCAGTGGTTAGGGAAGGGTGGATATGAAGGTCCTGATGTTGAGTCACTCAAGCTTCTGAAAGGTCAGGATGCTGGACAGGTCATTGATTTCATTGTTAAAGTCCCTGAGGGAAATTGCAAGAGAACTGGGTATAGAGGAGTATAGAGTCCCATGTTGAAATTGTACAGGATTATGGGGAAATGTCTGGTTTTAGTTGATTTTAATTGTTGAGGATAGAGGGAGTGATAAAAGCAAATGGTATGACTGCTTTTTTGAGCACAGACCCCCCTGCCACGGGGACTCTAGGAGATGTGCTAAATCTGCAGGTTGGGGGCTCCACCCCAGACCTGTGGAATCCGAATCTCTGGGGATGAAGCCTAGGAAACTGTTTTTAACAGGTGCTTCACAGAATGCTTAGGCCCAGCTAATAAAGTTCAAGAACCACTGGTATAGACTCTGATGTGGAGCTTCTGGGCCAGGTTTGGAAAGCAAATGGAAGCAAGGCGTTTGCTAGCTTCTCCTCCTAACCTAGCAAATCCCAGGCAGTGGGAAAGGAAACACCCCCAGAGCCTCTTAAAGAAAGTTTTCAAGGAGGTGGCTTCAAGAGGAAACCAGTTTCGGTTAAATCAAAGAAGTAAAAAGTACATGGTGGAAAATGCCTGGGCTATTTTTAATGGCTATTTCTAAAGTGTCCATGTGTATTCCTTCCATCGTTATCAGAAGACTCAGTGTTCAATTTGCCCTCTTATAGAAGAGTCAGGTTAGGTTTAGTATCAATTGCCATCCCATAAATGGAAACAGCATAGAATACTAATGTGCATGTGTGCACACATGTGTAGAGAGATTTGAGAAAATATATAAACACACATGTATGTGGTATGTTTGTTTATGTCACGACAAATAGCCTTGTAAGTTTTCTTGCCCACAGTAAAATCATCTTCACAATGCCCTTTCACTTTTGGACAGTGTTCAAAATATTGTAATTTTAACATCAGGACCACACCAACTTGAAGCCTGGATATGATTTTGCAACTATGGGCATAAAGGGGACTTTGTGCTTCAGGTGGTATTCTAAAAGGATACCTTTGTCCTGGAGCCAGATGAGAGTTGCAGGCCAGCAAGCAGGCATTGGAAACCTTAAAGGTGGTAGCAAGAAAAGTGGTATCAGAGGAGGAAGCTGAATTGTCACGACACAACACTTTGGAAACAGGAGGTCTGAGAGTCAGTGGGGACAAGAGGTGCACCAGTCCAGCTGGCCGGGTGAAGAGCAGGGTGCCGGAGGGGCAGGAAGGGGAGGGGTTGAGCTTGGCAGGGATTTGAGACTAGGTGGGAAGTTGGGGTAGTTGGAGGGAACACTCTTTTTGGAACAGATGATTTGGTTAAGGTAGCATCATGTTGAGATAGCTTGCTCCTTTGACGCTATTGCCTGTCTGGTTATAGTGCTCTAAATTCTTTCCGAGTCCGAGTTGAAGTCCCTGTATTTTAGCTCATTAGTCCCAGCCAATCATTTGAAACTTGTTCCTCTGCATTTACTGGCACCCACCCTCACAATTACACTCTATTAGTGGCTGCTAACTGGCACTGAATATCTTTAAATAAACTGTGTCCCCTCATTTACATATATCTCTCAATATTTCTCTCCAAAGTCAAAAACAATGCTTTTTATACTACTGTTTCTTGGCATTTGTGGCATTTATCGTGGTTCTGTAACACGACCCCTATATCTGCATCCCTGACCACTCTCCCGTCCACCCCCCATTGTTTATTTCCCGACTTCATGGCAGCTTTCTGCAGCAGAACTGCTACCTCAGAACGCTTGGATATCATATGGCTCCCAGTCACACTGTGTAAAGACTGTGTCCTTGACTGCAACTCGTGAGGTTAGCAAGACATTTCTGAGCCAGGGCACTTTCCAGGTGTCAGTTGGGATAAAGACCAGGTGTCAGCTGGTGAAGACACCATTTTTTGCCCAAAGAGAAGGGTATTTATAGCTTTTCTGTCTAGAAGAAGCTATTATCAGCTTTTTGTGGCTTATCATTTTTTCTGAGGCTTATCTCTTGAATAGCATTTAATGTTCCTTCCTTATCCTTTTTCTCTAAATCCTTTATCCAAAAAGTAATGAATATGGAAATGTTGACTGTGAACTTGCCTGAGGCTGCCCAGATTCAGGAAGGTTTTATGAGTCTCACTTATCGATACTGAAGAAAATGTTTTTGTTTAATCGAGAATAATAGGATTTCTGTGTTGTTCCTCATTAACTCTCTAAGCTATGTTTTGTTATTGCTAACATTTGTTTAATAGTTGAATATGGAAAAATAAAGATATATTGAGTGTCTTCACATTTCGAAAGGAAGTTGAATGTGAGATTTGTTTTCTAGAAAAGTTTTCCTAGGTTGAGTTGCTCGGCAGGATGGCAGTATCTGACTTTTCCAGAGCTGAGAGAGATTAAGGAGCAGAGAATTGAATCCTGTTCTCTTTTGTGTGCCTTGCGAAGGGCTGAGAGGTGGGCATGATGGCTGCATTTGGCGGATGAAGAGCGGAAGCACCTCACTAGATAATTATGGAATAAGAATTCAAATTCAAATTTTCAGATCCATGTTCTGTTCACTACACTGTCTCCATAAAAACTGGAAGGTACCTCACCATCAAATAGTCCTTTAGTGGTACTAGATTTTCATTGTGCTACTGTACGTCTTGAAGAGAGAATTTACTACTGTTTATTTTTCCCATTTATAATCATGCAAGTATTTACTACATAATGCTAAATCTAAGTATTCTGCTTTCTTTTGCTCTAGATTTTCTACCCTAGCAAGGATGGTACAAAGATTCCAATGTTTATTGTGCATAAAAAAGGCATAAAACTGGATGGCTCTCATCCTGCTTTCTTATATGGCTACGGTGGCTTCAACATATCAATCACACCCAACTACAGGTAAGCAGGGAGAGTTCTTGAAACTTCGCATATATTTGATCTTTTCCATGGAGTGGAAAGATACCAGAGACTGGTCTACTAAGTCGTGTTTTTCTGATATACTTAACTTTATATTTCTTGCTTGTTATTTTGGTAGAGAGGCAGGATTGTGTGTTAACTGCCTGAGGAATTGCAGGATCATTACAAGCTAATCTTGTAAAAAAAAAAAAAAAGAAAAGAAAAGAAAGAAAGAAAAGTCCTCAGTGGAATAGGTTGCTTGAGAACTGGATGCTAAGGCTACAGCTGCCTGGCTACAGAAGATTAGTATTAACTGAGGTCTTGAAGAAAGGAAGCTCCTTGCGTGCAGTGTCTGTCATCTGCTACCACCTCACTACCCTCAGTAGTATCTTCAGAGGAAATGATTTTTTTTTTTCCTTTTTGTCTTTTTTACTGACCGGCAACAGGATCGCAACCCTTGGTGTTGCGCCTGCACCGCGCTCAGCCAGTGAGCGGGAACCGGTCTCCACATGGGATCCGAACCCTCGGCGGGAGCGCCACCACGCTCCCAAGTGGCGCACTCTCCAGTGCGCCACCGGGCCGGCCCGGAAATGATTTTTTTAGCTATGATTATATTTTTCACCAGTACAGAGTCTTAAAATAGACTGTCTTAACATTCAGCAATAAATATATTTTCTGTATATGCTGTTACTCCATCCATTTAAAACTATTCTATGGTCATTGTTTCTGTGATTATTTCTCGTTTAACTTATGCCTAAGAAGAAAAATCTACATCTATATGTTTGCTATTGTTTATATGAATATCTTCTGCCAATTGTTGGCAAACTTGATTTTAATATCCCATTCTTAATATAAAATGGAATTTGCTTTGAGCATTTTTAATAAAAACAAATTTTCTACTAGCAACACCAGCTTTAAGCCAACTTCTAAGTAGAGCCTCATATGAAATCTGATTCACAGATCCATCCAGGATCTTTCTTATCTAGGAAGAGATTCATGGACCGGTGACTACAAGGACAGAAATTGAGAATAGACTCAACCAGCTGTCCCAAAGTTGAATGCAAGAAAACCGGTACTTTGTTTTGAGCATTCAGTATCTGTAGAAGCTCATTATTTTAGATTTACAGAAGTATGAAACATGGTTCCTATTCTGAAGTGGTTTGTAAACCAAATTGTGGACTACACTGAACATCTAGCTAGAGTTTAATTTTATCCTTCTGTTAGCAAGGAGCCGATGAAGGCTTTTGTGTAAAATCACGATGTAGAATGATATTTCTAGAAGATATGTGTGGCATCTTCATATGAGCGAATTGAAGGGAAACTAGTTAGAAGAGTGTCCTAATGGTTGCTGCTATTCATTCATTCTGCAATGACGGCACTGGATACCAGGCACCATTCCAGGCACCACCTGCACCCTGGCTGAGAATGGCCCACAGACGGGCTTCCCATCTTTTTCCAGAGAGCTTTGCAGGCAGTGAAATGTGTTATCTCAGTAGTACATCCATGTCTGTGTGGTAAAACCATATGCCATATTTATTACCTGAAATTATCACTCTAAAATGTGAGCCAATAGATGTTGGTTCATTAGATTAACCTAATCCTTACAATACAAAATTAAAAAGTGTCAGTGTTTGCACTCCTTATCACTCAAAGTAGTAAAACAACAGGCTTCAAAACACAGTGAGGCTTGTGTGCAGGGGCAGAGAACACATGCTCCATTGCATGAACAATGAGAGAGCCTCGCACCCTGAACCCCATTCCACTTGTCCCAAAAGGAGGGCTAGGATCAAGACAACAGCGATTCCTCAGTGGATCGACCATAGCTAAAAACACTTGTCTTTGTTCATTTGTGCAACAGTATTCATTACACCTGCTGTGTTAGGAGTCAAGAGAGGAGTCTCCAGACCATTTTTATCCTAGAAACCATGGTATAACAGTAGTTAATATAATAGGAGAGACCATTAGAGATGCATGAAAACACTGAAGAGAAGATCAAGTGATTGAAAATTAGTTTGGCCAGTTGGGTGTGCTTGTGTGGTCTGTTGCATCCATTTCAGCTCTTTGTACCTTTCCCCTTCACCCTCAGTATCCAGGAAATTAGCACTCAAACCATCTGGAGCCTCAGGTTTGCAGAAGCCCATGGTTTACCCACTTACTGAAAAGAAGAATGATAAAATTCTCAGAAATAGTTCTCAAAGCAAAATTAACTGACAGCAAATAGACAAATAAATGTCACTCAGCACTTTTTGGGTCACAGTGGAAAGAGGAGAAAAACAAAGCCCAGATTTTTCAGAGTACTGACTGCTTTAGTCTAGAAGCTTTGTGCTATAGTTTCTTCTATTTCTTTCTAGAAAATATTCTCCAGCCCTGAGAACTCTGTTCTTGTTTTCTAGTCTGTGTCCTTGATCTCCTCTTCTCATACTCTTTAGAAGTGGGAAACATGTCTAAAATTCATGTTCAGGAAGGGGCTTTCTTTCTTTTTTCCTACTTGAACAATTTGGGGAAAGCTACCCAAAAAAGTGGTGGCAAGGGCCATTCATCAGGTCCTCCAGCGAGCCCTGCACCATTCCCCCCTGGGCTGGCAGCATTTTCTTTGTGAAGACAGTTGTTTAAAAGGTAGATCCGGTATGAAATGAGGGCTGCTAGTTTTTTCTCTGTTTGCATTATGAATTGTGTAGTGAAGTAGTTACCAATACAGAAAAATGAAACATACTGAATGCTTGTAAAAATGTATGAGCTTTGTAGTTAAACATTAATCCGAAGTTACACATTTTTCACTTTACTCAAGTAATATAAAAATATTGGGGTCCTACTCATATAACATTATGCATGGAGTGTTCTCGGAGATTTTTTTTTTTTTTTTGAGGTGGAGGGAGATAACATGGTCTTTACCAGGCAGTTAATGGGAGGCTTTCCTGTTTTTCCTGTTTCTCAGTGTGTCCAGGCTTATTTTTGTGAGACACATGGGCGGTGTCCTTGCGGTGGCCAACATTAGAGGAGGTGGCGAATATGGAGAGACGTGGCATAAAGGTAAGGCATTTTCTCTGAAGAACTATGAGTCTTACAGAGTTGAAGCTAAAGTTGTGCTAATCCTTCCTGTTTGAATGACCTGAGGGGTCAGGAGCAGGGAAGCATTTTGGCTAGACAAATGAAAAATTAGGGTATTTTCAAATGCATTGCAGACACCACTCCCCCTTTGAAAATAACTCATCATGTTTCATTTTCCTTTGCAGTCTATTTATTATAATAAAGTCCATATTTTTCAGGAGCATTCCCCATAAACCATAATCAAAATTATTATTATTTTTTTTTTTGCAAGGTGTGGGGTGCATTTTTAATGATCTCTGTCACAAGTGAGTCTTGGGGAGCTTTTTGGTATTTATTCTGTCTCCTGTTAACCTTGTTTTTACAGGTTAGCATTATTTGGCTATCCTGAAACAGACTTTTTTTGCAGCTCATTTTCTCTTAAGAGAAAAGAGCAATCTTAGAGCTTTCCTGTTCCCAGCGTGGGCTTCCTCTTGCTTGTTTTCTCTGATCTTCCCAACATTGCTGAAAAAATCGCAGCCTCCTAGCACTGCTGCTGTGACTGTCGTATGAAGGTTTTACACATAAGAACACAGTCATTTTTCTTTTCAGGCTTTAGTCAGTCTCCATTCTCTGGCATCCTGAAGCATGTATTCTAGTTGATTGAATAGTGCTTAACAGCATACCCCAGCTGGTCAGTGTGTTTAAATGATCGTCTTTGTTTTGAAGCCCTGTCTCTTCTACTTCTTCATATGTGGAGCAGCACCCCTCCCCCACCCCGGCTTTTGTGTGTCTGGAGTTGACCTCAGACTAACCATCAGTCTGAAGAGGATGTTCGCTCCTCACTTGCCTGTGTCCTTGGAGAGGGGGATGTGGGAAAGCACTTTCACTTCCACCAGCTCCATGCTTCCCGCTCCAGTCATCGGCCATCATTTCTAACAAGGCCTTCCAGGACGAAGTTTGTTGGCAGCACCAGGCAAGAGGGGTCTCCTCCGCAGTAGGAGCATCAGAGACCACCCTGCAGATGCGTACCCGCACTTGTTCTTCTCCACTCTTCAAATCTGAGGCCTAAAGCTCTGGTTTTCTGTATTAAATCAAATCAGTGAAGATGAGGGTAAACCTGTAAAAAGATTTGCATAAGTACATGTTAAGTATCAAGAAGAGGGAAGGGCCCAGGCCTGACCCCTGGGCATCCAGCGTGCACCCCAGGGCTAGCGTCAGGCACCCAACTACTGAAGCACCTTAACAAGGAGGGGGTGTTCCCAGTTAGCACACAGGTGCCTGGCCTGCCCACCCTCATGGGGTCAGCTGCTGCCAGGTGTATCCCCAGAGACTGTCAATTGTCATTGTATCTGAAACTGCACAGAATTCGTTGTATACTTTTGGCCTGCTATTGGAGTTTAATTGCACTAAAATCATACTGTGAAACTGTAGTATTTAAAGGAGAATGTATTAGCTCTTTTCTGTTGCTTACATCAAAATACCTGGAACTGGGTGATTTGTAGGAAAACAAAATTTATTGCTTACTGTTTCAGAGGCTAGGAAGTCCAAAGTCCAAGGAGCACATCTGGTAAGGGTCTTCTTTGGTGGTGACTTTATAGCAATGCAGGGGTCTCACATGGCAGAACATAGTGGAGCAGACAGGGAGATAGTTCCTCATGCACTGTCCTTTTAAAGCCCTCAGATCACGTGGTAAGGGTCTTCTTTGGTGGTGACTTTATAGCAATGCAGGGGTCTCACATGGCAGAACATGGTGGAGCAGACAGGGAGATAGTTCCTCATGCACTGTCCTTTTAAAGCCCTCAGATCACGCCCACTATTCCAAAAAATGGGTCAATCCACTCACAAGGGTGCAGTCCTAATAATCCAATCACCCCCCCAAGGTCCCACCTTTCAATTACCTTAATAGGCTTTCCTCTCTCAACAGTTACTGTGGGAATTAAGCTTCTAATATGTGAAGTTTGGGGGACACAATTCAATCAATCCACAGCAGGGAATAAATGATAAAATTTCTGTATACCATACATTTGATTTACATCCCAAATTCAAATTCTTATTTAAATGGTATGTGGTTTATTCACTCAAACACACACCCCATGCACTGATCCCTGATCTTGTGTCCCTGTCCTAAAAGAACTGGATTCTTCTCCCTAAGACCTCTCTGGTCATCAGGTACCCACTATGCTCGGAGGGGAAAGAGTGCATTTGGTCCTGGTCAGCTTTCTTTTCCTCATATTCTACTAATTAGAACCAACTTATTGTCTAAAGCCTTGAGAGTAGACAGGTTGGAGTTCGACTAAAGCTTACCATACATTTGATTTACATCCCAAATTCAAATTCTTATTTAAATGGTATGTGGTTTATTCACTCAAACACACACCCCATGCACTGATCCCTGATCTTGTGTCCCTGTCCTAAAAGAACTGGATTCTTCTCCCTAAGACCTCTCTGGTCATCAGGTACCCACTATGCTCGGAGGGGAAAGAGTGCATTTGGTCCTGGTCAGCTTTCTTTTCCTCATATTCTACTAATTAGAACCAACTTATTGTCTAAAGCCTTGGGAGTTCGACTAAAGCTAAAAGTAGACTGTGTTTAGACTGATTCATAAGCTTTCTCAAAATTTAGGCAGTGAAAAGACCAGAAATGGACCATTTCCAGTTATAGCCTAGTATACAGAACATTGATAAATCTAAATTCCATTGTTAATCAAGTTTAAAGTTTAATGCTCTTTTAAAAATAGTCATATACCCGAAGTGATATTATTCCTGGAAACTAAGTAATCTTAGCTGTTCTAATCCACTGATAATTTCTTATTAAAATCTTAATAACATTTGTTTCGATATGAACAAAATTCTTCAGTAGCACAGCTTCATCTTTAATTGAATTTCTGCATAAGTGGTTAATCTCAAATATCTCATTAGATCTGTGTCAGCTTTTTGTTCATTTCAGAGGCAGTTATTGGACATGCCTTTGACTTTTGGCCTTTACTTTTAGATATCCCAAGACCCTGTAAATGTTTCTCCCTCAAGTAATTTCTTTGTTTGTTTTAATACATTGGGATGACTTACAGTAAGTAGATTAAACCCATATTCCCTGGGGAGACGTGTGAGCTCTTTCATTCAAGGATACAGAACCTTGTGCTGTCGTCCTGCCGCAGCACTGCCTCACCACCCAGTTCTGACTTATTCTGTGCATGAGTAACCAGGGGCAAGACTGGAGAATTTATTTCTCTTCATCACTTACCCATTTCAATCTCCTGCAAAGAGGAGTGGTTAGGGTGCACCTCTGCAGAGCATTTCCACCTTCATGGGGAAGGCACCAGCTCTGCCACAGTTGCTAGGGGGACAACGCTGGGAGATCTTGTTTCATTTTTAAGTTCAGCTTCTCCAAAATAGAGATGGATTCTTTTTTATTACGTGCTTTCACACTTTCATTCTCATGCTTCTCTCACAAAACACATTATCTGTTCCCTTTGGGGCATTTGCCTTTTAAGTTCTAGGGGTTTTCAGAAAAGTACAAATCTACTATATGGATTAGCAATGGTCGTATTGGTGATAGATTTCCACAGTGCACAACAAAATTTAAATTGAGGCATTTCTTTAAATGTTAACCCATTGTGTTTAAGTTGTTTAAGTTAATCAGTAGTTGGAACTATGCCCTGTCATCATTTGAATTCCTTTTAAGTTAAGCTTGTTTTTTATGTTTTGTTTTGTTAATTAACTCTCTTTCACTTTGGCACATTATAGGTGGTATCTTGGCCAACAAACAGAACTGCTTTGATGACTTTTTGTGTGCTGCTGAATATCTGATCAAGGAAGGTTACACATCTCCCAAGAGACTGACTATTAACGGAGGTTCAAATGGAGGCCTCTTAGTGGGTGAGAACTGGATTTTATTCATTGTACTTACTGGTTAACCCTCTTAGGGTTTTCAGATAGACTGTAGGCAGCTCTCGATTATTTTGGCTCATGGATAGGAACAGAGGCACAAAGAAAGCAAAACCCACTTGTATTTGGGCATCTGATAAACAAAATATAAAGAGACAACTTAATCCACATCATACTGATTTACTCATGATAGACTGAAAAGCCATCCCAGCCCTGCCCTGAGCTCTTCTCCCACCACACTGTGGGCTGGACTGCAATCCCCCAACACACACGGGATCCATGGGTTTCTAGGGTTTAGCTAGCATAGCACTGAGCCTGAAACCCCTCTAATTGTGTCACTTACAACTCCTAAGATGTGATTATCACTAAACATTTTTTAAATACCTGTGCTATGTGATGCTAAATGCCGTGGGTGCAGAGAGAGGTCATGAAGGAAATGAGGTGCACACAAAGATGGACCCATAGTTTAATAGTAATAAAATAGTTAACAGTAGAAGTTCACACACACCTGCTGAGCACCTTGTGTCCCAGGCCCAGTGCTGAGCTACTGATGTACACATAACCTTAGCCTTGTGAGATGGGGATTACTGTCATCCCTGTTTGACAGAGGAGGACACTGGGCCCTGGGAGGTTGCATAGCTTGTCCAGTGTCATACACCTGGTGGATGCTGATGCCTCGCTATGGTATTATAGTAGACAGGAGGGAAGGCAAGGGCACAAAAACAGACCAGTTAGGAGACTTCTAGCAAGAGACAGTAGTGCCTTGGACCTGGGATGAGGCAGTGGAAGAAGTGAGAAGCGGTCAGATTCTGGGTGTATTTTGAATTTGACCAGCTGTGTTTGCATGCACATTATACTTGTATATGAGGTAAAAGAGAAAGAAGAACTAAGGGTGAATCCAAGATTTAATGGGAAAGGACATTGAAAATATCATTTGATTTCAATAATGGGAGAATTGTGTTATTTACTGGTTCACACAGTAACTCTATTATATTTTTGGAGTTTTATATTCAGGAATTGGTGTATGCCTGTTGATAAACTGGGTCCCTTAAGGAACCCACAAAGATGGNACCTGGTGGATGCTGATGCCTCGCTATGGTATTATAGTAGACAGGAGGGAAGGCAAGGGCAGAAAAACAGACCAGTTAGGAGACTTCTATCCTGGCGAGAGACAGTAGTCTGTGATTTTGGATTCTACCCTTCTGTGTGGTACTCTCTCTAAGTAGCTTATCCTCGTTTGTGGTAGCTAATGAAATTTTACTTTGTTTTTTCCTCTCCCAATAGCACTTAACATTGTGATGAACTTTGTGGTGGGCCTGACCTTTGCTTGCCGGGTCCTACATTCAGTGTCATTAGGATATGAGGGGCCATTGTACATGTGTAGAATAGCACATGTAGACTCAACTTAAAAAACACTTGTGACAGTTTTCAGGTTTTCCATCCATTATTTTGGGTGGGGGAGATCATGTTACTGGACAGCAGTTCTAGGTTCTTGGTCAAACCATGAAGAAAAATCTTTCACAGGATCAAGAGGGGTCTGCATCATGGTGAGCACCCCTATAACAAAAGGAAGGGAAGAGGGTCAGACAGTCGAAACATTCAAACAATAGGGTTTTATTTTAAAGCAAAAGTACACACGGGACAGTGCATAGGCATCTTCACGAGGGAGGAACACACAGTGGATTCTTAAGGGGAGGGTTTATATGTTGTTCTGAGATGGAGGTGTTCTCTATCCTAACTAAGGGGAGGAATATTCGGTTGTGGGGGAGGATCTAGGGTATTTAAGGCCTAACAGGCTGATACAAGGTTGTATCAGCTTCCTGTAGTGTATCCCTGAGTTTCTGAAATTTTTGGTCAAGTGCATTGGGGTCACTTTTCCTTAACTTTGCCCTTCTTGGTCTAGTCTACACTTTTGTTCTTCCTAGTGCACAGGCACTGCAGTTTTTGTGGTTTTAAGTTTCTGTTCAAAAATCACAAAGTTCAGGTGTAGCATGCTGATTGGTAGGTTGGTTAAGCTGTCATCATCTCATTCTGGGTTCATTAACTGCAAAACAAGGAAGTAGCTAATGCTGATCCAGCCTGAATGTTCATGAGCAGCCTCCCAGGGGAGTGTCCCTATTCTGTCCTGCCTCAGTCAGGGAGCAGCACTTCTGTTCATTTGTCCTTGCCTTTGAAACATGCTGAGCTGTGTCAAAACCTGAATTCCAGTTCTTATTCTTTACCCCCAGTAGAATTTAGTCTTAAAAAAACCATTTTCTCATGGAGAAAGGTATTGATAAAATTGAAAGGGTATTGATAAAATTCTTAAATATCAAATAATAACAAACTTGATCCATTCATTCAACAAATATTTATTGAACACCAAAAAGTGCTGGACGTTTTTCCAGATACCAGACATATGTCAGCAAACAAAACAGACAACACCTCCACCTTCACGGAGCTTTTATTCTAGTCGGAGGGGGCAGACAATAAACCAAGGCCCTGAGGCCAGCATGGGCTCAGGGTATTCAAGTAAGAGGAGGCCACGTGCATGAGCGAGGTACAGTAGTGTCAGGACAGGGGGAGTGGGGAGTGGGGCTGACCCAGGTAGGACCTCACAGAAGTCTAGAGGACTTGCTTTAGTCTGTGAAATGAAATGCCTTTGGGGAGCTTTGAGCAGAGAAGTGTCATAATTTGACTTATCTCTTAGCAGGATAGTGCTGGCTATGGTATTATAGTAGACAGGAGGGGAGGCAAGGGCACAAAAACAGACCAGTTAGGAGACTTCTGGCGAGAGACAGTAGTGCCTTGGACCTGGGATGTGGCAGTGGAAGAAGTGAGAATCGGTCAGATTCTGGGTGTATTTTGAATTTGACCAGCTGTGTTCGCATACTTGTATATGAGGTAAAAGAGAAAGAAGAACTAAGGGTGAATCCAAGATTTAATGGGAAAGGACATTGAAAATACCATTTGATTTCAATAATGGGAGAATTGTGTTATTTACTGGTTCACACAGTAACTCTATTATATTTTTGGAGTTTTAAATTCAGGAATTGGTGTATGCCTGTTGATAAACTGGGTCCCTTAAGGAACCCACAAAGATGGAGTCCCCTCATCAAGATGCTGGGATACTTATTTTAGAAGAACAGATTCCAAATTCCTACCCTACCAACCCCTGAGTGAGAGAATCAGGGCCCCCAAGGGTAGGGCTCAGGATTCAATATTAGTAATAGACACTGAAATCAGAACTGGGGGAGGGAATAATGGTTTTTTGCCAGAGGTGGTAGAAGTCTAGATCCCTTGACTAACTCCTGCTCATGCCAGCATTAATGCCACCTCCTCCCAGAGCTCCCCGGCTACTTCACACAGGGTTAGGTGCCTCTACACCCAACTTCCCTAGCACCAGAACTTTCTCAGCAGTAGTGACTGCCACGCTGTATTATAATTGATGGTTCACTTCTTTATCTTTCCCATTATCCCTGACACATCCCCAGGCCTCATGCCAGGCACAGGGCAAATGTTCAATAAATATTTGTTGTATAACCAAAACAAAAGAAAAAAGATTTAAGTATACAAAAAAAAATTTGAAAAACAGGATGAGAAAATGTGCCAATATTGGTTAGAGCCCTGAGCTGTGTTTCAGATGCTTTTCTGCCTTGGGCTGGTTCTGAGACCCTGAGCAAGTTCCCCACCCTTCCTCATGAAAGCAAGTGGGGATGGGAGGAGGGGACAAAGGTTTTTCAGGAAGTCCTCAAGCTTTCCAAGTAACTCTCCCCTGCTGAGATTCATTTTGAGGAGTATAGCTCTATTACTGATGAGATAATTCCTACCTCTCAGACATATGGGGAGGGTGGGGTGGGGGGAGATTGTGGACAATGGGGCAAGTGATTTCTGGTGATTTCTTCCTGTGCTCTAAGGATAAAGGTATCCAGCGTTCATGAAAGCATTTAAGTGTTGCTTTGTTTTTGTCTATTTAGATGTTTGATGATAGACCACTTCCCTTTTCTTTCCATTTTGATTTTTAGCTGCTTGTGCAAATCAGCGTCCTGATCTCTTTGGTTGTGTTATTGCCCAAGTTGGAGTAATGGATATGCTGAAATTCCATAAATACACCATCGGTCATGCCTGGACCACTGACTATGGGTGTTCAGACAGCAAACAACACTTTGAATGGCTTGTCAAGTAAGGTTTTAACTCATTTTGACATGTATGTGTTGTTAATGATTTGATATCATAAAATTGAAGTTGGATTCTTTCTCTCTTTAGTGTCTTGGATTTGTGTATAATTTACTGCAGAAGTAGAAGAGATGGGAATACCAGGCTTCTTTGTTTTAATCTGGCCTTTAACAAAAATAACAAACTATAAAGATGTGGTAGGTAGAATTCTAAAGATTAACCTCCACAATTCTGTCTCTGTTTATTCAGTCAAACATTAAGTTAGGTACTGCTGTGAAGGGACCTTGCAAATGAAATTAAGGCTATTAATCAACTGACCTTAAAATGAGGAGATTATTCTGGATTATCCAAGTGTTCCCAATCTAATCACATAAACCCTTAAAGACCAAGCACATTTTCTCTAGCTAGAGTCAAGGATGCAGCAGCAAAAGTCAAAGAAACTGGAAGCATGAGAAGGACTTGACCTGCCATTGTAGGCTTTGGAGCTGAATGAAGGGACCTCCAGAACTGGAGAACAACCCCCAACCAACAGCCAAAGGGACCCCAGTCCTACAGCCACATGAAACAGCTAACAACCAGAATCTGGAAGTAGATTTTTTTTCCCCAGAGTTTCCCCAGTAATAGCCCAGCCAGTCAACCCTTGATTTTGTCCTTGAGAGACCCAGAACAGGGGACCCACTGAGCCAACCCAGACTGCTGACTTACAGAACCGTGAGATAATAAGCGTGTAGTTTTAACTGGTGGTAATTTGTACTGTAGCAATCAAAAACTAATACAAAAATGTATGATTATACCTTATATTAATATATTTCAGATTTCCTTTTTTAAATCAAGAAACAAGGGCCGGCCTGTGGCTCACTCGGTAGAGTGCGGTGCTGGTAACACCAAGGCCACGGGTTCGGATCCCATATAGGGATGGCCGGTTAGCTCACTGGTTAAGCGTGGTGCTGACAACACCAAGTCAAGGGTTGAGATCCCCTTACCGGTCATCTTTAAAAAAAAAAAAAAAATCAAGAAACAAGGAAACGGGGGCCGGCCCGGTGGCGCACTGCTACAGTGCGCCGCTTGGGAAGCGTGGCGGCCCTCCTGCCGAGGGTTCGGATCCCACATACAGACC